GTTCTGGCTGTAAGCCCGACTGCAAATTTGAACACTCATGGATGGACTGCATGGTTGAATAGAAAGAGCTCAGTCAAAGATGTATGTTTAAATTTGGCTCTGCCACTTACATCAAGGATCCCCTTAGAGATACCCTAAAACAGTGTTTCTCAAACTTTGAATGTGTACATAAATCACCTGTGGATCTTGTTAAACTGCAGATTGTGAGTAAATTGGTCTGAGGGGTGGGGTCTGAGATGCTGCATCTCTAGCAAGCTCCCATGTATGCCAATGCTGCTGGTCCCTGGACCAACTCTGAGTAGCAAGGTCTTAGAAGATTATTAACAGAACATGTAAAAAGCACATGTGTACATGGGAAAACAGTTTGTAAACTTTAAAATGACATAAGTATCACTTTATATTGATTAATAATAGTTGGTGATTCAGTTCAATTCACCAAGAAAAAGTCCTAGTAGAATAAATTATGTTTCTTTTTAGCAAAATCAGATTTTTTCTTTTTTAGCAAAATCAAAAATAAAACTAGGAATTGGAAAGGCAACACAAGAAATATTCATCCTAAACAATTTTGCTGCTTTTTGATTGCTTTGAAAGATTAACTTCCGTATGACTATCCTGACTAAATGAAAAATCTCTGCTTTTTAAAAGAAATTTGTACAATTAGACCCAGTCTCAGATTTGTCCTGTAGATGGTCTCATGCCAGTTGAAATAGGAATAGTAAATTACAAGGAAAAGGAAGAAGACAGTTGGCTCCAGGAACACTGGCAACAACAAGAAGAGATCACTGTGAGGGAAGAAATTAACTAATAAAAGCAGACACAAGAACACAGAAACCAGAGCTGTATAAATAGTTTTCCTAAGTGAAACCGTTCTTTTTTCCTAAGTGAAACTGTTCTTTTTTCACTGGTGTTGGCATTTTCTGGAAGAAATGAACAAAATCGACAGGTACAATTATTGATTTCTAAAGCATTTCTGTGTTCCTTATCTAAAGTACAATCAACAATTCCTGTTCAAGTGTTGATTGGAAAACTGGCCCCCATACATAGAGGGCAAGGAGAGATGGAAGAAGGAGGCAGATCACTCTAGATTGGCAGATGGCAGTTTTAATAAGCAAGGGAGCTTACATACCAGGCTTGTCTTGGGCGGCCACAAGATGAGTAGATCGCCACACCTACCCACCAGAATCTTCAAAGTTTGTATAGAGGCTTTAACCGGGTTCAGGCATGTATACCATCCAGATGGTCTTAACAAAACATTGCTCTCTCAAGGCTATCTCCTTGAAAACAGCTCTGGCTGTGGGAACAGTGGGCAGACCACACACAGCAAGGACAGGGGAAAAGGTAAGGAGCCTCTGATTGCCCAGGCCCAGCTCTCAGGTCAACCCATTGTCATACCCTCTTGATGACCTCCTCCAACATCAAGGAAACATACACTATCTCTGAGGTTCTAGTCCCACAGCATTTTGGCCAATCTATCATTATTGCGTGGTCAATTTGCCATATTATGTGAAGAAGACTCATCACACATCAGAAAATGCATAGCAGACCAATGGGAAAAAAAAAAATCCCTTCTTGATCCTTTAGATTTTGGACAGAATGACTCCCTATCATAGATCCAGATCACCAACACCTTACCCAGATCAAACAACAGCTTGCTTGCTCCCACGATGGATCTCTTTAAAATGGTTCTGGAGACACCATGATTATAGAGTTAGAACTCTGCTTCAAAGATGCCAGAAATTCCTCAGACTCATCTTACCTGAATTTTATACTTTGTCTTCCTGCTTCCATCCCTGTTTATCCTCTCTCACATGCTTGTGGTGAAAAAAAGCATCATTCATAATTCGATATGCCAAGATATTGTTAAACAGACACGTATGAATGAAAACTTAGTTTGGTGTCCTCAGAGACAGGAAGAAATAACAAATGAAACTGAAATCTGAGTAACTGTCAATATGTTCCAACAGTACCATTCCTTTGAAAAATAAATTGAAAGTAAAACTACTAATACTGATTACTAACTTAATTCCTTAGGTCAGTCAATACCAAATCATGAGGCCATTTAAATGCAAAACAGCCACTGAGAGATTTGGTTCCGAAAACACTCAAGATGCAGACACTTGAGAAATGTTTAGATATGCCAGAACTGTGCTCACGGTGGGGAATATCACACACCTGCAAACTGTTCTTTGCGACAGTCCTGAGTAATCTGGGTCAGCTGCCCCAAGGGGGTGGACTCATAATTAGGCAGCTCTTCACTCTCCAGTTGCTTCACCTAAGAAAACCTGAAGCTTTGAGGATGACTGAGCAGCAGTTCCCTTCCACAGAAACACTTGTGTGGCGCATCAGGAGTGGTTTTAAATGGTGGAGATAATTACTTAATTCAAGCTGTACCAACTGGCCAAATAAACATGTAGCAGCCAGGAAGCTATTAGCATGATTTTAAGGCAATTATTCCATTAGTGTTTAATAGTCTCCAATTAGTCTTCTCTGACTATCCAAGTTTGAATACTTTTTTTCCTCCAAAAATTCTCACAATTGAGTAATGCAGAAAGATACCAAACTCTTTTCTAAAACCTGGATTTATATATATGGATCTACTAAACCAACTTTATAGCATCATGGGGGAATTCAGGGATGTAGCTTTGGTGAAATATGTTTTCTTTTTTCCTCAGAAGTATTGGAGGTGAGAATGGGAGGGTTTGCAGGAGATTCACTTTGAATATATACTAAGAGGGGTTGGGAAAGCAGTGGAATTTCCCACCGCATCCAAGGCCATCATCTTTATGTCTCTTCTCTAAGACTACCAGACTATCTAAGTCTCTGACCTCAGGTTTTCACTTTGTCCCATGGCGAGAAAAGGAAAAGTACCCTGTGCCTGCTAATGCCTAGTTCCTCATCCCCTCACCCTGGTCAGTACTTGTTGCAACTGAATCATCCAGATATGAACTCCAAAGCATTTCCCTACAAAATTCCTCAGAGATCTTCCCTAAGGACCACTTTAGGGGTCAGATCACTAATCTAATAGTGAGTCATTTGCCTTCATTGAGCTGCAATTTTTATATCTGTGAAATGGTGTTAAGAGTACCAGCAATGCCTGCTTCATAAGGTTTGGGGAAGGATTATGTGATCTGGTGTTCACACTACGGCTTTGAAAAGTGAAGTAATACAGAAGTGTACGATAGATCCAGACATGGTATCATACCGTCCCTTAGAACTAGCAATGTGAACTTAGGTTTTTAATGTCTCTGTGTCCTTGGAGAGTCACCTATCAGAAAGCCGGCATCAGAGTCCTTGCCCTTCTTACCTTCTATGTGTACAGAAATGCTCAGGTGAGACCATGTGAAAGTAACTGTCTAAAAACCAAATAAAAAGGAAGAAAGAAACAATGATAAGAACGCCTATGGAAATGAGTGGAATTTTGTCAACAAAGTTGTGTACTTTCTACTGCCTCCTTCAAAAGAGCAATCCCCCGGCTCACCCAGGTAGCAGGATAAGTGCAGAGTGGAGAAGCTGGGTTGTTCTTTTCCTTGGAGATACCTGGGCTCTTGGGAAGCTACCTCTTGAAGAAGGGCAAAAGGAGACAAACCCTTCCCTTCCTGGGTTGGCGCTCAGGGTGTAGCCTGTGCCTATCACAGCCGCCAAACATCCACTTGAGCAACAACCATTGATTTGAGTTACTAATCAATTCCAGCACTGCTGGTGAGAGCCTCTTGGGATTTTCAAGAGTACCCCTCTTTTCCATTTGTTTCTTTATTCTCTCTGTTTTCTCTCAGTGGCTGAGAGGGGACGCTGAATGGGGCAGAGCAAGAGGAGGTAGACCAGAAGGTTGAACTTGATAACTGGGCTCAGCTCAGGGCAGGGAGTGGACTACCTATGGGTAATTTGCCCTCTAGCCCCGGTCCTGGAAGAATCAGGCGTCTGCACCCTCGGCCCAAGTGAAAAGTCAAATTGGTAGCGAAGTATGGCCGTGTCCCCAGCTGTCACAGTGTTACACTGTCCTGAACGACTGTCTCCCCTGTACACCTGAGATGGGGGCTGCTGCCCCAGAAACCTGCGCAGTCCTCTGGTCCACGTCGCGCGCACCCTGCTGAAGCCTCTGGATCCCCCCAGTCTCTTCCTCGCTTTGCCCAGGCTTCCTTCCTTCTAGTCTGTCTGGACGCCGCACAATCACCTTTTCCCTACGGTTTGCCTGTTAATCCCATCCCTCAGCCTCTGTTCACGCAGGTTCCCCTGCTCGGCTTCTGTCCCAAGCAGCAAACGCACAGGCTACAAGGGTTTGCTTTTCTGACCCGGGCGCTATACGTTGCTAACAGCACTTGGACCAGAATCCAGACGGTGGCCACCCGGCCAGGCCCTCCGGATGCACGCAGACCAGGAAGCGGCGCCCTCCGCCCCTCGCCCCTTCAGCTCCCCGTCAAGGGCAGCGATCACGCCGTCGCCGGTCCCTGAACTTTCATCACTCTTCGGGAAGCGCTTTGTCTCTTTAAAGGAGACTGGGGACGAATATCAATGACTCGAGTAGGTTCTAACGCAGAAATCTACCAAATCCGCTCTATTCTGTGACAGGATGGAGTTCGATGTCCACCAGCCGGAGCCGAGCCCTTAGGACGCCAGCTCGCGCGCACCGCGCACGGTCACCTCACAGACCCAGAAGTCGCCCCCAACCCCCAAGTCTGCAGGGAAAACCGTGGGGGGGGGGGCACGAGGCGCCATCCTAAAGCCAAGCCTTTCCCCTGACCCAGCCCGCTCACACAGCCTGCTTCTAAAGCCAGTGCAAAATCAGTCACCTTGACTCCCCGCGCCACGGTCCCCAGAGGTTTGGAAAAGGCCAGGAGGCCCGAGGCTCCCAGGCACGCGCTCGCCTGGCCGGAGACGCACCCCAGGAGACGAGTTTTCCTCCCTCGGGCATCGTGGCAAGTTACCAGTTAGTGGCAGATAAAGCAGGGCGGGGCAGGTGGAGCGGGCGCCAAGCGCCCCGTCGGCAGCCTCTGCGCGCCTACCTGGGATGGCTAAATTGGTGAGGGGGATGCTGTGGATGCTCTCCGGCAGAGTTGCCATCCAGTCGGCGAATTTCAGCTCATTCTTCCCCTGAGACGAGGCCATGGTGCCGGTCGGCGTGCCGCGCGCAGGTCCCCGCACTCCTTGGGCAGGCTGGCAGGTTGCTGCCGCTAATCCAATGTTTGCTCCAGCCCCGCTAGAGTTTACACTCCGCTCTGCGCCACACCCACAGGATGGCGCAGACACATGCTAATTTTAATAATTATTCAAAACACCCCATGCTCCCTTAGTGCCTCCGCCAGACTCCGCCGGAGCTTTTGTTCCTGACGTCCGCGTTCAGCTTTCTCCTCTCTCCCCTCCCTCCCCGACTCCCTCCTCCCGTCTTATCCCGCCTATGCGTCTCTGCCTTTTCTCGCCATTCTGCAGCTCTCCTTGGCTTATTATTCCTTTTTTTTTTTTTTTTTAAACTTGGTTTATCCGGCTGCTTTGCCCATGGTCTTGCTCAGCCCTTTGATGTGACTTCCTGATCCTGTTTGTATAAAAGACAGTCTTGTGGTTGGACCTAAAATTCCTAGTAGACTTTGGGCTTCTATCACCTTCCTGAGAGCTGACTCGCATACTGGCTTTCAAGACTTTCCATTCTTACCTAAGAGCTTTCCTTTTTGTAAACTACAACAGGTTACGTCTTTCCTCAGCTGGAGCCCACAGCCCTGCTTATAGCAAAATGGTGGTCTCTATTCACCACTTTGCCTAATTTTTGGAGTAGTTGACCAGTGTGCTGTCAGCAAAGGGCAGTAAATTCTAGGTGTTTCCTCCTTAATCACTGGTATCCTGTTTCAGACATTTCAAGGTAAAGAAGCACTTCAACCCCTTCATTTTCCCCGTTCATGAGAAATCGGTGTTATTTCTATGGAGAAAGCTGCCTGTGTCCTCTCTGTCATTTTCATGGCACTCAGGATCAGACAGAAGCCTGATACTAGAAGAAAATCACCACATTTCCCAGTGACATGCTGTAATTATTGCCAGCAGCATTTGGTGGAATTTATTTGGCACCTTTCAAAACGATCTTTGTGATCGTCTGAATTTTCATTCCTTGGCAGACTAGAGAGATATACCTCTCTCAAGAGAAATCACTCATTGAGCTTCCAAAGAAGTGTCTTGGTCCACCTGCTCTCAGATGACAAAGAGGAGAGAAATCAAGTCTAACAAATGTGATCAGTCTAGGGGTGGCCTGAGTAGGAATGATAAGTGATGGACTGAAAATGTGCTGGGTCTTTGCAACCCAGAGATTGTAGATGCAATAAAGGGACCTCTGATCTTTGATCTAGTGGTGTATAAATCTTTTTCCTAAAGTAAATGCTACTAGGTTGGGGAAATGAAAACCAAGGTGGGAGAGAGAGCTGAAAAACAAGGAAATGATCATTTTATTTCAGTAAACCATATAGCATTAAAAACAACAACTAAAGCTTGCTTATTGTGCAAGGATGCAGAGCCCAAAGAATATTCACTCCAAATGGGGACCATTGTGGGAAAGATGGAGAGAGGAGAGAAAATGCCTTATCCGTGTGATCAAATTTTCCATTCTCCCATAGAATCCATTCATAGCTTCAAGAGGATATGGTAGGGTTATCTTTAAGAATGAGAAAGAGATATGCTGGGATTTTTTTTCCAAGGCAAATCTTAATATTCTTGCTAGCACAGTAGGACCCACATATCCTTTTGATGAGACTGAGAATTTAACTCACTCTAGGATTCTTGGTCGGGAGATCCACAAACAACACCGTTCTGGCTAATGCTGGTGGTCTGTGGACATTACTGCAGGGCAGTGAGGAGAGCTCAGATCTGGGATCAGCTGCTCTGTCTCTGAGTAGTTTGGCCAAGTCCTCTAGTCTGTGTCAACCCTAGTTGTCTCCGTTATAAAATGGTGATAGTAACTCAGAGCTTGTGGTGAAGCTTCCAGGAAAGAGTGTATATGACAGAGCTTTGTTACCAGCCAAGCATCATACAAAATGTGAGAGTTACATTTATTAGAACAACATTTGTGTATTTCCCTCTCTTTGCCTTTTCAATCCTTATAAAATATTCACATTCAAGAGGATGAAATAATTACTGAATCTTGGGAATATTTTTTAATAAGATACACTTTAAAAACATGCCCTGTTCAAGTGTGTTGAACTTATGTGTCTCTAAAAGATTACAAAGCATTTTTTAAAAGTGAAACCACCCTAAACGTTGATGAAAGTTGCCTCTATAAAGAATCATACACTGTTCCTTTTGGTAAAGCAGATAAACAATCTGTCCCCTGTTTTACCTGCTTTGAATGTCAGAATTTTTAATGTATTGGTTTTGCATAAAACTTTACGTTTCTCTGCATGCAATCCATTAGAGAAGACAGGGCTGAAAGTTGATAGTTCTGAATTTCTTTCCTGGCCTTATAATCAATATTTTATGTAATTTTAGGACCTAGTTTCCCCATCTTTCTATTATCAGCTCTGCCACCACTTACTAAGTGATATTAGGAAAATCATGTAATTTCTCTGGGCCTTACTTTTTCCATTATATTATTCAGGGCTTTCCAGAGAAACAGAACCAGTAGTGTGTGTATATATATATATATATATATAGAGAAAGAGAGAGAGAGAGATTTATTTTAAGGAATTTGCTCACGTGATTATAAGAGCTGGCAAATCTGAAAGGCAGGCCGGCAGACTGGGAACTCAGTAAGATTTCTGTCTTGTAGAGACAAGATTGCAGTCTTGTAGAACAATTTTTCTTCTTCAAGAAACCTCAGTCTTTGTTCTTAAGGCCTTCAACTGATTGGATGAGGCCCACACACATTATAGAAAGTAATCTGCTTTACTCAAAGTCAAACAATTGTATATGCTAATCATATCCACATATACCGTCACAGCAACATCTACACTAGTGTTTGGCCAAACTACTGGGCATCATAGCCTAGCCAAGTTCACACAGAAGATTAACCATCACACCCACTGGCAAACTAAACTAGAAGTTGTTACCAATCTCTAGGGCCCCTTTTGACTCTATTATTCTATAATTCTGTTTCCTTAACGATTCTTTTTCATACATGTAGCTGCTGGAAATAGTAAGAGGAGGAAGGTAAATATTTGCTTTAGTTTTTTTACTCCACCCAGACAACTCAGGGTATGGATCAACGTCTTTACCACTACAACAGAGACAAGAAAACACTAATGATTTTCAATTGTGGTGTCAATAGTAACAAACCTTATTAAAAAAAAAAACAACTCTTTTAAGCATAAATGGAAAGAGAAAACTGATTTATTGCAGTAGCTACTATTAAAACTTATTCATGTAATTCTCAGCTGTACATCAACATGACACTAGGCACAGTTTATAAACATTGCTACTCATTTGGAACATTTCCTTACTTCATATCCTCTTCTACTTTTAAAAATACAAGGCTCTTTGCTATGTATTTTCTTTTGTTAGTTCATAATATCTCTTAATTATTGGAGATATATATGTTTTATTTTTTCAAATAAATTGATTTTGAGTTACATTCTGAAAAACAAGGATTCTTCTAGGTCAAAAGACATTAGAATACATTTCAGCTGAATAATATTTTAAAAGAGGAACTCTGTTTAAAACAATTCAGCCAAACCATTAAAAAAAAGCACAGTGTTCAGAAATATACATTTATAGAGTCAAACTTTAAAAAAATATATACAAAAGGGCAATAAAGAACCTTTGGAAAATTTATTATAGATTATTTACTATTAATAATCTATGCATTTTTACCAATCTCTACAAACTCTACCTAAATATTTCATCCAAAGAACTTTACCATATTTAAGTATAAAAATGCTGTTTTTGCTTAAATTCAAGATAGAAAACAGTGATAACTCCCACTTTTCTCCACCATTTTAACCCTGCAGAGTTTACAGTCTTATCTCTCCTCTCTTTCCCTACATCTACACCTTATATGCCAGCCCAAAATAGGCTAATTAATACCGAATTAACATAATCTAGTGGTTGGAATCACAGGCTATGGGATCTGAAGGCCTGGATTCAAATCCAGGTTTTCCCAATTAATTACTGTGTGTATCTTGGTTTCCTTAACTGAAGTGTGAAGAATAATTATTTCTCCTTGCACCTGGCAAAATAGAAGGTGCTATGAAGCTTGAATGAAGTGAAGAATTTACAGTTTATTGAACAGCGTGGAAGCTCAATAAACTAGTTGATCATTATGCTTGTTGCAGCTGTGCCTGTGCTCACGCCACTACCTCCACATGAGATGCACATTCGTGCTTCCATCCGTGGAAATTCTTACCATTCTAACTCTTCATTGCAACTTCCCTTACTATCCATAAGTTGAAGTCATCTTTCCTTTTTCTGCACATCCAATGAAGTTTGTTTATAGCAGTCTTGTAAGTGTTTCTAATTCCCCAGCTAGCCTTAAAACGTTATGTGGACAGAGATGGTGTTAGTTGATACTCTACAATGCCTCTCACAGTGCCTAAGACGTAATAAGGGCTCATTATAATCATTCATTTACTCACTTATTTCATAAATATTTATTGGGTGTCTATTATGTGCTCTATTCTAGAGAAAGAAGATGCAGCAGCAACTCCCTGTACTCATTGAGTTTATGTTTCAGGCAGAAAGTGGCAAATGATAGCTTAATGGCTGAATAAACAAATGACTTGGCTGTATCTCTCACCTCAATGTCACAAACCCTTCTTTAGCATGCCATTTTTTAGCACTTCGCTAAGTAGCAGAAGTCTTATAACTTAGTTTTGAAAATATATTTTGAAAGAAAAATTGGTTCAGAATTGTTTTGCCTCTTCATACTGTCTCCCCTGATTCTTCCCATCCCTATCGCTATCTTGGAGAGTCAGTGATGACACTTGGAAATAACCAATGTACTCTTCTAGATTTCCAAGAGTCACTACTAGCAAAATGCTTAATTTCTCAGAACACGGGGAATGGGAAGGAAGAGGAAGACTGCTTTAGGATCATGTGCAGAATCAGAAAAATCCTGAAACTATTCTACTCATCATCACTAAAAAAATTATGACCATAATTACACCAATAGAAGTATTGTTCGCAATTGCCACAAGGTGGAAACAACCCAAATGTCCATTGACAGATGAATGGATAAACCAAATGTGGTGTAATCGTACAATGGAATATTATTCAGCCTTAAATAGAAAGGAAATTCAGCTACAACATGGTAGAACTTTGAAGGCATTATGCTAGGGGTAATAAGCCAGACACAAAAGGACAAATATTGTATGATTCCACTTACATGAGGTACCCAAAATAGTCAAATTCATAG